GGTGGTGTGGGTGGGGACATGTGAGAGGGGCGGAGTTAGATGGTCGGTGGTTGAAGGGTCACAGGAGTGGTTGTTTGGGGTAGTCGTTGGTTGGACTACAAGAACAAAAATTGTTTCACATTCAGAAATCAGTTATATCCCCCTAGCCCCTTGGGGGTGGATTTTTGGGAGGAAGGAGGGGTTATAAGACTTCGTGCCCATTGAGACTTTTAATCTACATATTGAAAACTGTCTACCTGCAAAATTTCAATAAAAGTAGCCGAAAGACATGTTCCATAAGAAAAGTGCGGGGTCCTTTCTAATATCGATGTAATAATCAGTCAAATCCAAAAAATTAAACATGTTGTGTAGAGAATTAGAACACCTTGAAGATTTTGGGGGGTTGAATCTGTAATTTATGTGAAAATCGACCTGCGTTTTTCGGAAAAATAATTGTCTTGTGAGTTATTCGCTGCTTCGTTTTCAAGAGCCCACCCTGTATACTATGTTTCTAATATAAACAAATACATCTACAGTGCAAAACCATACTTATCGTATCAACTTCGACGTCAATATAATATTGTAATTGTAATATAATATAAAACGTAATATTGACAGTTGGTAGAAGGAAGCACAGAAAACAAGCGCTTAGGTAGGGAATTCTGGAAGGAAGCCAAAACAGTTGAAGTGAGAATAGCAGAGAGTGAAAAGTAAGACGATCGATGCACGGTGAAAATATATGTGGTGAAAAATTAAAAAGTGTTTAATCGGTATTAGTTAGCAGGTAATTATTCTCTAAGTACATTGTTGTTAATTGTTCTATGTAATCTTATGATTGTGATTATTATAGATGTTTCATGATAATAATTCTGTGTATGTTTAGCCTTCATTGTCTTATGCTCAGGGGCGTATATTTTTCTAACGTAAAATTGTTAACGATTATTATTAAAGATTGCTCATTATTTATTACATGTTGAAATATGTATATAATGTCGTGACTGCCCGGATATTGCAATAACAACTCCTTTGTTTCACATCTAACTTATTTTTATCATGATTACGTTGTTCGAAAAACAAATAAGAAAGCATTTCTTGTGCTCCCTTTATGTCAAGACGCATATAAGGGCCTTGTTGAATTCACTTTTCACCCGTGAAGAACGAATCTGAAAAAAAAATACATAAATACAAAAAAAAAGAATTGCTAAAACAGATCTTCCGACATCTCAACTATAGCTGGATTGCCTCCCGTATGGGGCTCCAGCACCTTCCGGCCCTGCCGGCTAACTAACACCAAACCTCTTCAGTTTTACTTGGAAGTGTGTATGTCTGATTCGAGTGAGGTGACAGTTAGTGACACATTAAATAAGTCAGGTCTTAATTATCATTAGCAAAGGATCTGAATTTATGCCTTTTGTTGGCGGTTGTTTTGTATTTATATTTGGGTAGTTAGAGCAACGATCGTGGGTTTCTCTGCCATGCTCTTTCCCCACAGGAGCTCTAGGTGAGCCTGGCACTCTCATTTTATGTTAAATGGTGGTTAATGTTTTTGTTGTTCTTTCTATTTGTCACATGTTTAATTTGAAGACTGTTGTACGTAAATAATAAAATTAGGTGTATTTACTCTGTTTAAAGTTAGTAGCCAGCGCCTTCCGGTCAATTAAAAATAGATGTATACAACGTAGGTATTCCTTATGACGATCACATATTTTTGGCCACAACTACGTTTATATTTTTCTTTTTTCGATCGAACCCGGGGTTATTATACTACACTACATAATATATTAGAAATAGTTTTCACGCAGAAGTTTTATTGTTGTGTTGTGTTGATTTCTAATTAAATGATATTTAACTGTACTCAATATCGTCTGTTTCTAAAAATATGAAGAATACTTGGAAATATATTTTGCTCGTGTTTACTTTTGATAACGTGATGTGACGTACAAAATTGTGGTACAAAAACGACTTGAAGTCGACGAATTCCAAATGTAATTGCGCAAAGTAGTATCCCCGACAAATCTCGATCTGTAATCTCAATTGACTTCGGCTCCTATTCTGCAAATAATTAAACGTTTTAACCGGGCGTATTGTGTATTTATCAGCGACAAACAGACGTTTTCCATTCACGCCGTCACCTTATTCCACGTCTTTGCAAATTAAAATTACTGCTGGGTCTGAAAAACGGAAATGGATTTACAGGCGGAGTCGGAGGGGGTCAATATCCAGATTGTTCTCGTTCAAATACGAAAAAAATTAAAGCTTTTAAATGTTCGTGTACATTTTAAGTCCAAGATGTTGACACAGAAGGTGAACTCATAATAAATCAAAATCGGGAAAATATACAGGGTGTCCCAGGATATGTGTTCAATCTCTCGGATTTATACAGGGAACGTTAAAATAACATGACAAGTCCCTATAAAATTTTTCCCTAGATGCCCCCCCCCTACGGATATACAGGCCCCTAAAAGACACCTTCGAAAATATTTTTGTTTAATAACTTTTAAAATAGGTCCTTTGCGTAATTTAATTATTTTTTAATATGATGGACAACGGATAAGATTCCTTAAAAATTGAAACATGAAAATAATTTGGCTTATTTGGTTTGCCAGGGACGGACTAGCTCTAGCACAATAATGATTTAATTATTTTTTTTACACGTCAAACTTTTATCAAAATGTATGGATTATTAACAGTACAAAAAAGTTATGTCGCTTACAATCTACAGCAGCTGGCGCCCTCTATGAAATATAACCAAAACGTGAACAAATTTCAATTCCTCTACTCAAAGAACCCAAACCCCAAAATTTTGTGTCGATATTTGCATTTATTAAGAAATAAATGAAAATAAACTAAAATAATATTTTACATTTAACACCCTGTATCTCTTAACTATCAACTTTTGGACTAAGATAAGTTCGGCTAAATCGCAATATTTTTGCTTGGGGAATCTACCCATGAATGTTGGCCCATTACCTCGGGACCACCCTGTATATAGGCACAATTGAATTCTGTATGTACTACACTTTTATGATTCCGGAACAAGATAAATAGTGACGTAGGAAGATAACTGTCGTATTATCTATTCCCCCCATTTCTTTGCATTCAATAAGAATATCAGAAACATTAAGGCGACATAGTATTACAGTGACTAAAGTGAATTGAATAATTTTCAGTAGACTTCGTGCATTTTCAAAAACTTTAGAACATCAGATAAAATCAGGTATTCACAAAATATAACATAATTAAAAGCTCAGTGTTATTTCGATGTTAAAAAAAATGAAACGAAAGTGTTTTTATTCACTATTTTTTTTTAATTAGCATTTTCGATATTTTTTAAATTGCATTTGTACAAAGAATATTTGCAGTTACATTATGAAATTTTATGAAAGATTTTGTAAACATATTTTCAAGTCGATACACTAAAATGTCAAGTAGGTACCTTTCTAGCCAAACCAATTTTATCTCTCTCTATACTAAATTGCGCAAGACGTGATTTCGTCTGAATGCTATCTATAAGATTGTAATAAAAGTGAGATTTTCCTTTCACAGCCTCACAGAAAAAAAAAGTTGGGTATACTTTTTATGCGACATATATTTTTCGTAGTAATTTGGCCTCCTGAACACGAATCTGGGGTCAGAATTGGCCCATCACGTCACAATTTTTTCCTAACCTCAAAAAACTTGTGAAAAATAGTGAAAATTGATGAAAATTTACTGGGAAAATTTGGAAA